GGGTTTGAGAAAGCGGCCCGCTAGCACGTGTGAATGGCTGTGCACTATCGACTCTGGCGTACGTGGCCTGCTGCAGGCGGCGGTTACATTGATTGAAGTATGCGGGGGGGGGGTCACGATCCTGTTTTCATGACGTGGTCATCATCTACTGAAAAGTTAGAGGTTGGATTGACTGAGGGCTATGAGATGTAGCGCGAGAGAACTCTTTTTCGGGAATTGACAATAAAAAGGCCGCTACAATCGGGGAAGTGACAACGAGTGTGACTGGCAGGATGAAAAATATACGTGGTGAAATTATAACATTAGGATTTTCCATGATCTACTCGTCTCTCGTAATGCTAAACGGTCGCATTGGTCCTAAGGGTCGAAGGTCTGGCAGAACGTAGGCCGCCCGCAGGCACATAAAGCGCGGGAACTTGAGGAGCCGCACACAACGGCAGCGGATCGCAATGCAGTCCACAATGCGGCGCAGGCACTGCACGCATGGAGAATGCCACGCTGGGGTGATCGTGAGTAGTGGTCACACAGATGGTGGGGGCGCGGTGCGATCGAGGCACGGCACGCCGTGCGGAGCCTCGCAAATAGGCAACTACACAGCGCAACGCAGCGGGCGGCTAGCGCATCGGTACCGGTCTACACTGCGTGCGCAGGCACGCTACGCTGGCGACAGGCACGCACGATAAGACGGAGGAAGGGATGTGATTAGCGGCGGGAGTCACAACACGGGCAAGCAGAGCCGCACCTGCAGGCAGGGCGCCCGGTCACGCGACACGCGGCGCGTGCGGCATGCTAACGGTGAGCAGCACGCGCACAGGAGCACACGTATATATACGCGCGGGGCGCGGCGCGCTCGGTTCTTGATTGAATGGCAATACACACATGCATGCTTAATGATAACACTTGACAGCCACACGGTACTAGGAATTACCGCGCGCCGTAACCGGCTGCCGCTAGCGGCAGAGGCGCGGGAGATCGGCAAGGCGCGGACCGGACCTGGACAATCGATTTCGCAGGGCGACTTTTGCTTTTGGGTCGCCCCGATATCGTATTTTCGGGGCTCTTTGGGCATTTCGGGGGCGAAATCGCCCGCCGCCCGCCGTGTATTTTTCCCCTGTACCAGAGGAACAGTACTTAAAGAGACAGTAGCCTCTAGGATTTTACTGCATACAACTGTACTTACTGTATAAAAATCGTCTATACCCACATGTATTTGTCACCAGATACTTAATTAATTATTTACACATCAACGCTATGAAATTGAACAGCGCCATGACAGCCGCGCCGGTGCTGGCACTCTGAAAAGTTGCGTATTTGCATTTTCGATTTGCAGGCAAATGACCGAGGGCTAATCACAAAGTGCAATTATATTTATACTAATTGCTATTTAACGAGACGATATTCATTTTAGGGCAAATTATATCCATATTATAAAAACTGAAACTATATGTCGTTTATAAGATATTACAATCCTTTTGCTTTTAAATGAATAAATAAGAAAACCCTCGGTCTGTAGCCCTTGGCTGGAAAGTGGTTTTGCGCAACTTTTGAGATAGTGCGCTTTGAGTGGCGCCACCGTCGTTATAATCAAACTGTAGTCGTTAGTTTTAAAACATTTTTTAAAAATATTTCTAATGGTGATTAAACCATGAAACTTTTTATGTAGCGCAATTATAACCTAGATTAGCTGAAAATAACTCTAGAACCTAGAGGCTACTGTTCCTTTAATTGTTATCGGGGTTATTGTTTTCTGCAGTGCATGTTGTAGGCTAATTGCCAGTAAATGCAAGTGAGCAGTAGGGCATTAATAACTAATGTGGTAACAAAATTACATGATGTCCAGATAGCTTAGGAAATGTAAAAGGTCATTAAGACACTGCAGCAACAATGACCAATGGTCAATCAGAATCGTTTTTAGTTTCCACTGACATTATCGCGCAACACTTCACAGGGCATGAAATTAGTCAAATGTGAACAGGCCCACCCAAAATTTAAACAGGCCCTTAGACAAATTGAACAGGCCCTTACAAGTTGAACAGGCCCTTATAATTGTGTTCAATTTATTCCTTTATTAATAAAAGTATTTAGCTTTGTTTTTATAGGCATACTCATACTCATCGTATTTAGTATTTCATTGCTATCAGTGGAGTTCTACTTGTTTGACAGGAATTGCTGGAACATGATTTACTTCTTAGAAGTCACTAAGTAACAAACTAGTCAGTAAATTGATCAAGATTATTGATATAAAAGCAAGATAGGCACATTTGAATAGGCAGTGGACTTATTATATGGGAGAGTTGAACCGGTATAGTTTAGGGGTGAACTGCCGCCGCCGGCCAAAATAGGCGCTAATATTCGTGCATTGCTTCATAAACAGCCAATCACATCCACTGGCATAATATTTTTATCAGCACATTGTAAACAAAATTGGGCTGCTTATATGATTTGACATTCAACCATTTCTTTGTACGACTTAAGTGCCTCTATTTCTGTTCTACTTCCTACAATCTATACTACTAAGTACTATTGTTGGTTATCAGTCAGCTGGTAACCTACAGATCACTCAACTCCCCATTGGTCCGTGCTAGTGTTATACTGTGGGCCATAATTTTAACGTTGCAGGCACAGTGAGATGTGCAACTGTATCTAGGTCTTTGGAGGGATTTCCATCCCCTCATCTGCTCTGTATAAATTTATAAGGAGCATAGTGGACATCGCCTGCGCTGGGTCTGGACGATGACCAGTGCAAAGCATTTTTCAACAGCAATGTCAAAAATAGTTATATGTACTGTGGCCTCTTCGGTAGTTCAACTTTAGTCAAGGCACTTGGTGCTGGTGCCAAAACATTCTCGTACGAAGGCCGAATTTTGTCATTACATTTACAACGCAGTCGATTATATCACGCAATGCTCGTACTCGTAATGGCAACTCTCCAAACCAGAGCTTTAGGGCAATAAATTGTGATAGAATATATCCTCTAGTAAAAATGGCACGTTTCCTAGTTTTGGTTATTTGTCTGTTGTGAGTTTCTGAAAAGAAGTCGTGTCCCCTTTGGCATTTAAAACCTGACGCATTGGGCGTGACCTATTAAGTATTTGCATGTTGGACATGTTTCTGCTCAATTATGCCCAGGAAATGATGAAAGGGTACTGCGCTACTAGAATGTCTGGATTGATGGAAATTGATTGAATTGGTTGGGCATTGGATTGAATGAGATTAATTAACGCCAGCTGCATTCAGTATGGGTACTCACAGGACATGCCGGCATGCCTCCTTTACATATATATATATATCGAGCCTGCTCTATCTAGTGAAGTTTTGTTTGCTAAAGGCGGCGCAGCACCTAAAAAGATTTTCCCAGAATCGGTCCGATTAAAAATCTTCATCGTTTTGAAAATCGCTCAGCGCGACGCCTTTCGATAAACACTCGCACCACTACGATAAATTGATTATTTTGTTCTGCCAAGGTGGCCATTTTGAATGTCATGTGACACGGGCAGCGTTCAGTCTATTGGCTGTTCAATATTTATCGTAGAGGATTTTTCTGAGTTCACACGCACACTACAAAATCTTGTCGGATTACAAAAAAATCGCTTCAAAATAATCGGTTCAAAATCAAACATGTTTGATTTAGAAGCGATCACCCCGATAAAAAAATCGTAAGTAAAATCGCCTACAATAAACGCGCACAAGCGCTACTACCCGATATCGGCCGATTTTTTATCGGGCCTTCAAAGCGCGTGATAAATCGCTGGTGTGCGCGGCCTTAACAGTTGCTAGGCCGTCGCATTGTGGTGGACAATGAGCGTTATAACGTAGCTTTCGCTAATAGTAACCCAGGTGCCATATAGCCACTGTCGTAGCTGCACCCTAGCTAACATGTTTTGAATCACTCCTGATATATTCCATTCATCTAAGAACTGACGTTTTAGGTTTAGCGCATGTCACTTAAAATGTGCACATAGAAATTGACACACAATTTGTATAATGTTGCTTAGATGAAATGCATAGAAATTGATAAATTTTAGGAACCATTATGTAAAAGCAAAACGAGTATGTAATATTGAAGGGATTTAAAAGCATAATGCTATCAACGTTGCTATAATTAATAGTGATATATGCTAATCCGTCGCTTTTACCTAAAATAATATTAAATGATATGCTAGCGTGACTTAAAAAACTGTAATTTGCTCAAATTTATTACAGGTAATTTTCAGAGCAATGAGTGCTTCCCATCTCCACATTTTAACATGACTGCTTGGCGAATGAATCAGAGATTTGCACTGTCGTGGAGCAGATTTCCGTTGCATGGATAAATGCCAGGGTGAAGCGCAAAGGGCTTCACCTAAGATCTCGGAGGAAAAAGAACTACTGAAGAACATTGCGCCTATGTGATAAAGGGTGCTAGTGAGTAACGTTCCTACTCAAGAGCATTTTGTTTGCATGTTGGCACAAGCCTCGACGACGTGTGACTAGTCAGTCATGTTATAATCTATGCGCAGACATTGAGCTGAATTGCTCCTCGCATCCTGGTCATCATCTAACATGGCCAAAGAGACTTCATTGCAATTTGAGTGTGACAAAGTCGGATGTAGTGACTTCCGGTGAACCCTGTGTTACAGCACTCTGTTGGAAAGCCGGTGATATAAAGTGTGATTATGCAACGAACAAAGTTGTTATCAGAAAACCATCAAATTTTCTCCAAGTGATCAATCTCTCCATACCTGTGCTGGCAATTCACAACTAACATTTGTGTTTTGTGTGATAGTTGAACATATCTACCGTCGTCAATAATTCTAAGTCTTCGCTGAGGCCCTCTTGGTGAAGGAGTTGTTGGCGATATATTTATCTGATAAGATGAGATCACTTACACGTCCAGGGTGGCGAATGTTCGCTTCTGTGGCTTCTCTCGCTTGCGCTCTTCTATTGGAAGGGCAGCATTACAAGCTTGTCTACAAGGAAATGGCAGGTTTTTGCTCTCCTGTACCGCTTTCCTTAGCATTATGTACAGATATGCACTTGATGGCGAATATCGAAGGTAATTAAATTTGCAGGTTTGCAGAATTTTTAGGTTATAGTTTCGTTTTACAGATCAATAAAAAATTCATTTTAAATTAGGAGTGAATGAAAACCATTAATTTTGTTTTTATTCTCACTCGAGATTTCATTTACAATGAAAATTCAAAGGTAAAGGGCAAACGTCTTAGAAAGTGTAAAATCCCAGGTTCACTATAGCATAAAAGTTCTTAGTGACACAAAATGGAAATGGGAAATATGATTCGTCTGAAATCAGTTTACACTTGAAATACACAGTAGGTTTTTAATGGCGAAAGCAATTAATGGCTTCTATGTAAAACAAACGCTTATGAAGTTCATAATATCCACTGAGGATCTTGCTTTCTGTTTCAGGGTGTTTGAGAACATTGCAATTTACTGTGCAAAATTCACTGATCTTATTCCGGTGTCATTATCTTCGGGATTCCTATGTTGCCATCTGTCGTCACACGGTGGTGGGAGCAGTTTGTCGACATTCCATGGGCCAGACAAGTAAGGCAGTAATTTTCTACTGGTGCCAGAATTTGCATCTGGCCAGCTAAGTATGGGCATTCTGTGACCTTTGATGTAAAATAAATGACCAGGCACACATTGACAGTTGTAAGTTGCTATTGCACATAATGCAATTTTCTTTCACAGGAAGCTATCGGATGCTGTAATCGGTTTGTAGTTCTGCCATAATAGTTAACCTGTCTGTATAATTTAGTAGGTTGCAAGTAGTTGTTGTGTACTTTATAACCACACTAACAGTCTCAAGAAAAGCGTATCAGTGTCACTCATATTTTATTGTTTTATTCTCATCACTTGTTATTACTCCTTACTCAATGTACTTCCTTGTTTTCTTGTATTCATAGAAGGCACTACTAACAAATGCTCTCGCTAACAACGCATAGCTGATGGTGTCAACGCGTTTTGCGCGTAGTGCTTCACTGCCTGTCTGTTATTTATTTGCCTACCGCTAACAATAACCATGCTAAGCTTGTATTTTTACAGAAACGGAACCGAAGTGAAGTTATGTTTCTCTCAACATTGAAGACAATATGGTTTTCCTAAGCAGGCCACGCTCTGGTTGGTTTGCGTGACAGTAGTGACGTACGTGCCAATAATAAAAAAGCACTTGCTAACGTATCGGTGGCATCTCTCTCTCTGGCAGCGATGCATGCAGTTGTCCATCGAATGTACACGGCACGGATGAACGTGGCGATCATCCGACGCACACTGATTGCGCCTACTGCAACACGTCCTGCGGTGATGGTCTACCAGCGCAATCAGCATGCCGCGTGAAAAAGCGCTTTCCGACAATCGATCACCTCGTTGAAGCAGGTATGTGTGAGGGAGTACCGGTGGCAGAGACATGGAAGTTATAATGATATCAGATAAGATATGGAAGGTCTCCTTGATAAATTTTGAGAGCTTTGGCCCAACCTGCGTATGAAGTTAGCTTGGTCGGCATTGCTGTAGGGCATTCTAAAGATATTGCATATCATGGTAACATGCACAATTTAATATTTTGGTGTGCATGCATGAAAAACCATGTAAGCTAAACCTTGACGTACAAGTTTGGCTGACCTAGAACAATATATTCAACAGGACGCATGGTTATCTCGCTCAGGTGATATGTAAGAGTAATTTGCAAATGATAACAGGCAAGGTTTTTGATTGGAAGGTTTTTATGTTTATAAATAGAGTTTGGTACCATTTTGATCTACATTTAGTACTAAAATTATACAGAGAACTCGCACAAAATTTAACGCAAATAAGTTTAGCAGATTATAAAAAAGTTTAAATAAGCAAAGTTTGAATGAGCAGAGTTTTATCATTTTAAAAGTGTAATGTTCGTAGTATAAAATTAGGAAATGTTTGTTATTTATGGTGAGAGCATAGATAGATGATTCACTGAGGTTAAGGTAAACGCAGAAAGTATTTGTATTATTAGAGAAATCTTTAATGAATTCGTGAAATGTGTTGTGAGCTCATGTCATTATTTTGTAGGGTTCCTTACGGAGAATGAGAGGAAGCTGATGGATGATACACCATGCCGACATGGAACAAATGGTGGTTCCCATGGCCACTGGTTTAGCTGTCTTCTCTTCCCAAGCACCTGCAGAGAGGTCGAATCAAAGGACACATACATACTAAAGCAATTATGGACGTACGTAAGCTAACACAGTTTCGAAGTACTGTACGAATTGGAGCAGGGCATACAATGAAATATTTCTGCCTGTGAGGATAAGTTGGTGAAATAATTGAACCATGGCATACACAGCTGTTTGATTGAGACTATAGCTGTTAAGTATCCAAGCTATCGTGCTGTACTACTAGCGCATCATCACCCACGTAGACAATAATAAGTCAGTATTTCTATGGTGTGGCATTGCATCAAAACCGTCTGTCATTATTCTTACTCTTCCCTCTTTTGTTAGATTTCTGTTCTTATGAATAGTAGTGTAATTAATATGATTCATTGCAAATATTTTGCAAATAGCTAGGGATCGAGAGGAGTGGATGAGTGAGTCATCCAGCCTTCAACTGACATACACAATGCGGTCATAAGTTTTCAACGGATATATCCTAAAAGTAATGAGGGTCAAGGCTATATAATATACTAGCTGTGTGGAACATCTGTATTGACAGTCATGAAATATTTCAGGAGTGTACGTTTTTTTGATTTTAGTAATTTGGAATTCATTGCATTGCTATCTTCTCATATTAAAGTCAGTAGGCATACTAATTCGTATACACACACGTGTGTCAACATGCAACACATCAGATTTCTGGATGACAGAGCTTGGCAGTAGCTGGCAGCAAGTAGTTGAACAATAACAAGTTGAATACTTTGTGCTCATACCAATGTTGCATGCAGGTTAATTTGGCTCAAGGGTCGTTGTCAGTATCAGGTACTACAGATATGTACCCGAGGTACATATATGTATACACAAAGTGTACCTAGACTTGTACTACAGAAGTGTACCTTAACCCTAACACTAACCCTAACCTAACCCTAAACATACTCTCATAATAAATATAGTAAACATCAATACTAAACAACCTAAAAACTACCCTCGGTACATATCTGTAGTACCTGATACGACAAGGGACCCATCTGCGTTAATTTGGGGCAATTTCTACTCAAAATTTATATCCTCTTCAACATGGGCACAAGAGATTAAGCATCTGCTCATTTTATATACTATCAGCATATATTGTCCATTGTGGGTTTGTTCTGACGATTCATATTATGCTATTTTTACCAGGCAGATGCACTTATTCCGTGGAAACTGTGGACATTGCTGTTCAGCTATGATTGGGTCAGCGTGCCCTGGTGTACACCCAGGTATGAAAACATTGCTTTACACAGCGCTATTAATATGTGGGTTTTGTGAATAATTAAAATGAATAAATTCGCATGAATGTACGTTATTACTTAATTACTTTAAAATTGGTTTCACCCGTTTATTAGTTTATGTCACAAGAAAACATCAAGTTCATTTACCGCTCCCATTCTACGACCTTTGATGCGCGTTGTGTAAACAAACTGGCTGTTTTAGAGGGGAGCCATAGACTGATATATATCTATCTCCTACTAACAAAAGAACTTTGTCAGTTTGTCTTGACGCATTCTGGCCATTTATTGATTTCGGACCCCCAAACTTGCCACGCTGTTAGTTTATCACCCTGAGGGTGGCGCTCACGCACATTTAAAAGTACTAGCTGAACCCAGGCGCTACCGCGGGCTTAGTGATTGTGATACATGTGTTAGCCAGTGAGGTAGTGTTAGTGTAAGGTGTTATATGGGAGTTTGTAGTTGTTGCACATGTTTGTTTTTTATGGTTGAGATGTCAATACAAATACAAGATGGCAATCATGCTTAACACATAACACGTAACATTAACCATTTGTTTGGCCAAGCTAACATAGTGAATACACACACTCCACACAGAAAGCGTTTATTGTATGCTATGTCACTGTTAGATGATAGCGGACCTCAAAACGTTAGAATATAGAGTAGCATGTGAATGGTAAACGTAACGTAAATGAATCCTACATCATTAGCGTGCTTCGCATGTTTTGCAACTTGTGGCCGGAACCAAGGTAATATTTGCGTGTTGTGATCGCATAATTTGCAAACTGCATTGATGCACTTTGTGCGGACGAAACAGTCATATTACATCTTCGTTGATCGGAACGCTGTGAAAGATCGGCTGTCCACCCTGGGCAGCCCGCGTACAGCTTGTACAAGGCATGCAGACTTCCAAAAAAAAGTCTGGCACTGATGAATTCAACTTGTACATTCTCATATGGGGAAAACTACTTGAACGCAAATAGCATACTGATATTTTAACTTCATTAATTATTACATGGTATTTTACTTACATTATGGGGACTTAACCACATAGCAAACGTCAGACACGGCTAGACTCAACAGAACGAGATACACAGAAAATCACGAAATTGAACCACCTGTTGAAACAAAACGAAATAGCCAACAGAACGAAAAACAACAGCGCCCCACTATTTTCAGGCTAATGTTTACACTGTTTTTTTTGGTGTTTTTTTGTCTTTTTTAAGAACGGAACAACGTTTTCGAACGAGTAGTAATATATAGAACGGTCCCGTGTACTCATCGATCTCGTATCTGTGAATTTGGCGCTATTGGTATTCAAACACTGATGGAGCCTGTTCATTAACATACATACATACATACATACATACATACAACATTCGCCAAATTATAGTAAGATACACTAAAAACTAATATCTCAAAGCAAGTAAAATATTAAAAGTATGTTATATCGGTAAGTATGTATGTATGTTAAAAGTACAGTCTAAGAAATCGATTGCGCCATGGCCAGCATGTAATGCAGCCCAGTGTTTTTATGACCGCATAACAATAAGTTTTTATATCGCAGGGGTTATCGTGGGGAGTGAGGGCACGACCAGTGACACTTGACACGCACGTAATCAAAGCTGTTAATTGAATTCGTCACTTTTCTTAACCTAGAAAGTGGACTATTTTGATTCAGTTAGATATCTAGGAGCAATGTAAACCGTATATATACTTAAAGATTCTAGGCACTTGTAACTTTGCGGATGTGCGGCAGCATTGATCTATGCATGGGGGTACCGTGGACTGGGGAGGAGAACAACGAAAGTAAAACCTTGCCCAGAAAAAACTCTCTCTGAAGTTCTGAATTTGCTCAGTCGATGTAAAAAGAAAGTTCAACAAGAGCCGCAGAGCGTCTGGGCTCATCTGAGGTCTGTTGCTACCGTTATAAACGTAACATTTAAGGATACTCTCCACGTTGTGCACGGGTATTGCTCTAGTGAAGATTAAACGTTTATTGGCGAATGAATCGAATCAATCACTTGTATATCTCTATGCTCAAGCCAAAAAATTTCATGAAATTTCCAGCACCTAATTATGTTACCACACAAATTTTGAATTTTTATGTAAAAATGGTATTTTGGATATTTCTCAACTACCAGAAAGAGTGAGAATACAAAATTTTTGCCACATGTTAAGCACAATATGGACCAAAATAGTGCGTCAGGATTTTTCTTTAATTTTCATATTTACCGAGAAAACCGGAAAAAACTGCTTAAAAATCAAGTTGTGTGTTAAAATAGAACATTTTAGCGAATAAAGAGGCATAACTAATAAAGTACGGCACTTAATAACAATCCCTGATGCACTTCTTTACCACAATATGTTACCATTAAAACGAGTGTAAAATAAAATTAATCCGAGTTGTAATCACAGAGAAATATCCATTTATACATTGGCTACTATGTCAGAAATCGAAACGGAGAAATCAGGTTTTTTTTTCTATTTTTCACAATGACTGACCGCCTGTGTGCAAAATGAGTGAACGTATGTGATATATCTATTGTTAGTACTCACTGGGACATATCCATGACTAACTGACACCACTAAATTGGTCAAATGTTCCATGCACCTTGAGAAATTCAGAGAAATTACGAGGTTACCATCGCAGAACATCGCAGAACGGGCGAACTCCGCTCATCCTGACGTCACAAAGCTATATGTCAACAAACGCATCATAATGATGTCAGCTGCTGCTTACTACACATGTATGCGGGCAAGCAAAAACGCTCTGACAGTTCACATGTACCGTTATATGGAGAAATGAGCATGTACACAGGTGGCACATAGTGTTAGCCATCGAATAAAGTTGAAAACGAAAAATTGATGAAATTTCATGCACAACGTGGAGAGTATCCTTAAGTCGTGCGTAGTGACACCTTTGTTAGGCGCAGATATGCAGATACGCAGTTGCATCATTTCAGCAACCTTCTGCATTCTGCATACCTCCCAAATCCCATTGGTTGATACAAATCGAGTGCCTGAAACTCCTGTTTTATGGTGCATTGTGACCCTAACCCTAACCCTATTAAAAAAAAAAGTAAAAATTATTTGTTGTTATTAAATTATTGTAAATAAATCATGTAAATATTTTCCTTAATTGGAAAGAAATAGTTAAATGGATAAAGATAGAAAAATACAGAAAACAGGTAAATAATAAAAAATCTGATGGGATTCGATCCAAGGACCTTTGAGCCATAATCAGAAGTAGAATCCTAATATATGTATCTCAGGTTATAATATATAGGCATGCATTATTAAGGGTGTTGTGTTATATTACTTTACAAAGCAAGACTTATGCTACAAGCATTATATGAATTATGCCAGAAAACTTAAGGAAATGAAGTTTCAAAATTGAAATGCTGGTAGGCTGAAGTGCTCCAGCCCTTTTACTTTCAGGGCTCATTTGGTAATAACCTTATAGGAAGACATCATTCTACAGTAAGAGTGCACCAGTCTTCAAGACAAACATCATCTGCAGCACTTATTTCCTTACAGGTTGTGACACTGGCAGTGTACATATTTTTCCTGGCAACCCTGATGGGAAGGCAGTTCCTTGACCCTGACATACAAGCTTCTCGCCATGCTGTTGACCTCTACATACCCGTGTTTACATTCATGCAGTTCTTTTTCTACATGGGGTGGCTAAAGGTAACGCGATTCTGTAATCTGTTAAACTGTAACTAAGAATAATTTTGTAGATTTAAAAAAATGTAACACAGAATGTAAAGATTAGTGTATCTTTCAGTTGTTGTTCTACAGTGAAGCTGAAAATCTTTGACTATATTATATATATTTAGATGCCCCGATTTTACGTGCCCCGATTTAACGCGAATTTGGATATAATGCGATGAGTCATTGGGCCCCCTTTTTTTGCTCTTATATAGGCATGTATATATAACACCGATTTAGTGCAACCTCACTTTTTTCGCGATGACATTTTATGGACCCCAACCATTGCGTTATAACGGGGTTACACTGTATATATATATATATATATATATTCCAGTTTATTTCCCTTTTGCAAGCTAATGTACTTTTACATGTTAATGTTGTTTGACAGTGCACTATTCTATGAAAGTAGTTAAACATGCTCGTGTGCCGTTGACAGGTAGCAGAGCAACTGATCAACCCCTTTGGAGAAGACGATGATGACTTTGACATGAACTGGATCATTGACAGAAATTTCCAGGTGAGCTTTGTGCTGATAGTGCATATGCAGGAGTCCGTGTGACTCCCTGAAAATTCTGCCATTCTAAGCGCGTTCCAGAGCGCGGCCTCGCGGAATTACCATATTTTTAGCTCACCTTGACATCGTCAAGCTGAGCTATTGCCATGGGTCGTCGTCCGTCTGTCCGTCAACATTTGGCTACGGTCAACGATAACTCAGGAACCGTTTGACCCACATGTTTGAAATTCGGTATAGTTGTTACGGCTATGCTCCCATATTAAACGTCCTATTTTAGAGCACGCCAGTCGACGTACTTTCGAGCCACGGCAATTTTTTGGCAAAAATTGGAATTGCCATTAGTCAGTTCAGGTTCAACGGATTTTGCTCATTTTTGGTATGTGAATGAATAAGGGCTAGGGGCTTTGATATTTAAAAAAAAAATTATGCAAATTAGGTAGGGTTTGGCAATTATATAGCATATTATATAGACTTTATAATCAAACTGTAGTCGTTAGTTTTAAAACATTTTTTAAAAATATTTCTAATGGTGATTAAACCATGAAACTTTTTATGTAGCGCAATTATAACCTAGATTAGCTGAAAATAACTCTAGAACCTAGAGGCTACTGTTCCTTTAATTGTTTACAGGTTATTGTTTTCTGCAGTGCATGTTGTAGGCTAATTGCCAGTAAATGCAAGTGAGCAGTAGGGCATTAATAACTAATGTGGTAACAAAATTACATGATGTCCAGATAGCTTAGGAAATGTAAAAGGTCAATTAAGACACTGCAGCAACAATGACCAATGGTCAATCAGAATCGTTTTTAGTTTCCACTGACATTATCGCGCAACACTTCACAGGGCATGAAATTAGTCAAAATGTGAACAGGCCCACCCAAAATTTTAAACAGGCCCTTAGACAAATTGAACAGGCCCTTACAAGTTTGAACAGGCCCTTATAATTGTGTTCAATTTATTCCTTTATTAATAAAAGTATTTAGCTTTGTTTTTATTAGGCATACTCATACTCATCGTATTTCAGTATTTCATTGCTATCAGTGGAGTTCTACTTGTTTGACAGGAATTGCTGGAACATGATTTACTTCTTAGAAGTCACTAAGTAAAAACTAGTCAGTAAATTGATCAAGATTATTGATATAAAAGCAAGATAGGCACAATTTTGAATAGGCCAAGTGGACTTATTATATGGAAAGTTGAACCGGTAGTTTAGGGGGTTGAACTGCCGGCCGCCGGCAAAATAGCGCTAATTTCGTGCATTGCTTCATAAACAGCCAATCACATCCATGGATAATATTTTTATCAGCACATTGTAACAAAATTGGGCTGCTTTATTATGATGACATTCAACCATCTTTCTTTGTACGACTTAAGTGCCTCTATTTCTGTTCTACTTCCTACAATCTATACTACTAAGTACTATTGTTGTTATCAGTCAGCTGGTAACCTACAGATACTAACTCCCCATTGGTCCGTGCTAGTGTTATATGTGGGCCATAATTTTAACGTTGCAGGCACAGTGAGTGTGCAACTGTATCTAGGTCTTTGGAGGGATTTCCATCCCCTCATCTGCTCTGTATAAATTTATAGGAGCATAGTGGACATCGCCTGGCGTGGGTCTGGGACGATGACCAGTGGCAAGCATTTTTCAACAGCATGTCAAAAATAGTTATGTACTGTGGCCCCTCTTCGGTAGTCAACTTTAGTCAAGGCACTTGGTGCTGGTGCCAAAACATTCTCGTACCAAGGCCGAATTTTGTCATTACATTTACAACGCAGTCGATTATATCACCGCAATGCTCGTACATCGTAATGGCACTCTCCAAACCAGAGCTTTAGGGGCAATAAATTGTGATAGAATATATCCTCTAGTAAAAATGGCATCGTTTCCTAGTTTGGTTATTTGTCTTGTGTGAGTTTCTGAAAAGAGTCGTGTCCCCTTTGGCATTTAAAACCTGACGCATTGGCGTGACCCTATTAAGTATTTGCATGTTGGACATGTTCCTGCTCAATTATGCCCAGGAGAATGATGAAGGGTACTGCCTACTAGAATGTCTGATTGATGGAAATTGGATTGAATTGGTTGCATTGGATTGAATGAGATTAATTAACCCAGCTGCATTCAGTATGGTACTCACCAGGACATGCCGGCATGCCTCCTTTACATATATATATATATCGAGCCTGCTCTATCTAGTGAAGTTTTGTTCTGCTAAAGGCCGGCGCACACCTAAAAAGATTTTCCCAGAAATCGGTCCGATTAAAAAATCTTCATCGTTTGTAAAATCGGCTCAGCGCGACGCCTTTCGATAAACACTCGCACACCTACGATAAAATTGATTATTTTGTTCTGCAAGGTGGCCATTTTGAATGTCATGTGACACGGGCACGTTCAGCTATTGGCTGTTCAATATTTATCGTAGAGGATTTTTCTGAGTTCACACGCACACTACAAAACCTTGTCGGATTACAAAAAATCGCTTCAAAATAATCGGTTCAAAATCAAACATGTTTGATTTAGAACGATCACCCGATAAAAATAATCGTAAGTAAAATCGCCTACAAATGAACGCGCACACCTACCCGATATCGGCCGATTTTTATCGGGCCTATCAAATCGCGTGATAAATCGGCTGGTGTGTGCCGGCCTTAACAGTTGCTAGGCCGTCGGCATTGTGGTGGACAATGAGCGTTATAACTAGCTTTCCTAATAGTAACCCAGGTGCCATATAGCCAACCTGTCGTAGCTGCACCCTAGCTAACATGTTTTGAATCACTCCTGATATATTCCATTCATCTAAGAACTGACGTTTTAGGTTTAGCCATGTCACTTAAAATGTGCACATAGAAAATTGACCACAATTTGTATAATGTTCTTAGATGAAATGCATAGAAATTGATAAATTTTAGGAACCATTATGTACAAAGCAAAACGAGTATGTAATATTGAAGGGATTTAAAAGCATAATGCTATCAACGTTGCTATAATTATAGTGATATATGCTAATCCGTCGCTTTTACCTAAAATAATATTAAATGATATGCTAGCGTGACTTAAAAAACTGTAATTTGCTCAAATTTATTACAGGTAATTTTCAGAGCAATGAGTGCTTCCCATCTCCACATTTTAACATGACTGCTTGGCGAATGGAATCAGAGATTTGCACTGTCGTGGAGCAGATTTCCGTTGCATGGATAAATGCCAGGGTGAAGCGCAAGGGCTTCACCTAAGATCTCGGAGGAAAAAGAACTACTGAAAAGAACATTGCGCCTATGTGATAAAGGGTGCTAGTGAGTAACGTTCCTACTCAAGAGCATCTTTGTTTGCATGTTGCACAAGCCTCGACGACGTGTGACTAGTCAGTCATGTTATAATCTATGCACAGACATTGAGCTGAATGCTCCGTCGCATCCTGGTCATCATCTAACATGCCAAAGAGACTTCATTATGCAATTTGAGTGTGACAAAGTCGCATGTAGTGACTTCCGGTGAACCCTGTGTTACAGCACTCTGTTGGAAAGCCGGTGATATAAAGTGTGATTATGCAACGAACAAGTTTGTTATCAGAAAACCATCAAATTTTCTCCAAGTGATCAATCTCTCCATACCTGTGCTGCAATTCACAACTAACATTTGTGTTTTGTGTGATAGTTGAACATATCTACCTCGTCAATAATTCTAAGTCTTCGCTGAGCCCTCTTGGGTGAAGGAGTTGTTGGCGATATATTTATCTGATAAGGATGACGATCACTTACACGTCCAGGGTGGCGAATGTTCGCTTCTGTGGCTTCTCTCGCTTGCTCTTCTATTGGAAGGGCAGCATTTACAAGCTTGTCTACAAGGAAATGGCAGGTTTTGCTCTCCTGTACGCTTTCCTTAGCATTATGTACAGATATGCACTTGATGGCGAATATCGAAGGTAATTAAATTTGCAGGTTTGCAGAATTTTAGGTTATAGTTTCGTTTTACAGATCAATAAAAAATTCATTTTAAATTAGGAGTGAATGAAAACCATTAAATTTTGTTTTTATTTCACTCGAGATTTCATTTACAATGAAAATTCAAAGGTAAAGGGCAAACGTCTTAGAAAGTTAAAATCCAGGTTCACTATAGCATAAAAGTTCTTAGTGACACAAAATGGAAAATGGGAAAATGATTCGTCTGAAATCAGTTTACACTTGAAATACACAGTAGGTTTTTAATGGCGAAAGCAATTAATCGGCTTCTATGTAAAACAAACCTTATGAAGTTCATAATATCCACTGAGCGATCTTGCTTTCTGTTTCAGGGTGTTTGAGAACATTGCAATTTACTGTGCAAAATTCACTGATCTTATTCCGGTGTCATTTATCTTGGGATTCTATGTTGCCATCGTCGTCACACGGTGGTGGGAGCAGTTTGTCAACATTCCATGGCCAGACAAGTAAGCAGTAATTTTCTACTGGTCCAAATTTGCATCTTGCCAGCTAAGTATGGGCATTCTGTGACCTTTGATGTAAAATAAATGACAGGCACACATTGACATGTTGTAAGTTGCTATTGCACATAATGCAATTTTCTTCCACAGGAAGCTATCGGATGACTGTAATCGGTTTGTAGTTCTGCCGTAATAGTTAACCTGTCTGTATAATTTAGTAGGTTGCAAGTAGTTGTTGTGTACTTTATACCACACGAACAGTCTCAAGAACAAGCGTATCAGTGTCACTCAATATTTTATTGTTTTATTCTCATCACTTGTTATTACTCCTTACTTCATGTACTTCCTGTTTTCTTGTATTCATAGAAGGCACTACTAACAACATGCTCTCGCTAACAACGCATAGCTGATGGTGTCAACCGTTTTTGCGCGTAGTGCTTCACTGCCTGTCTTGTTATTTATTTCTCCACCGCTAACAATAACCATGCTAAGCTTGTATTTTACAGAAACGGAAAACCGTGAAGTTATGTTATCTCTCAACATTGGAGACAATATGGTTTTCCTAAGCAGGCCACACTCTTGGTTTTGCGTGACAGTAGTGACGTACGTGCCAATAATAAAAAAGCACTTGCTAACGTATCGGTTGCATCTCTCTCTCTGCGCAGGATCATGCAGTATGTCGCATCGAATGTACACGGCACGGATGAACGTGGCCGGATCATCCGACGCACACTGATGCGCTACTGCAACACGTCTGCGGTGATGGTCTACCAGGCAATCAGCATGCGCGTGAAAAAGCGCTTTCCGACAATCGATCACCTCGTTGAAGCAGGTATGTGTGAGGGAGGTACCCGGTGGCAGAGACATGGAAGTTATAATGATATCAGATAAGATATGGAAGGTCTCCTTGATAAATTTTGAGAACTTTGCCCAACCTGCGTATGAAGTTAGCTGGTCGGCATTGCTGTAGGGCATTCTAAAGATATTGCAATATCATGGTAACATGGCACAATTTAAATATTTTGGTGTGCATGCATGAAAAAACCATGTACAAACTTGACGTACAAGTTTGGCTGACCTAGAACAATATATTCAAAGGACGCATGGTTATCTCGCTCAGGTGGATATGTAAAGTAATTTGCAATGATAACAGCAAGGTTTTTGATTGGGAAGTTTTTATGTTTATAAATAGAGTTGGTACCATTTTGATCTACCATTTAGTACTAAAATTATACAGAGAACTCACAAAATTTAACAAATAAGTTTAGCAGATCTATAAAAGAGTTTAAATAAGCAAAGTTTGAATGAGCAGAGTTTTATCATTTTAAAAGTGTAATTTCGTAGTATAAAAATTAGGAAATGTTTTGTTATTTATGGTGAGAGCATAGATAGATGATTCACTGAGGTTAGGTAAACCAGAAAGTATTTGTCAATTATAGAGAAATCTTTAATGAATTCTGTGAAATGTGTTGTGAGCTCATGTCAATTATTTTGTAGGGTTCCTTACGGAGAATGAGAGGAAGCTGATGGATGATACACCATGCCCACATGGCAAATGGTGGTTCCCATGCCACTGGTTTAGCTGTCTTCTCTCCCAAGCACATGCAGAAGGTCGAATCAAGGACACATACATACTAAAGGCAATTATGGACGTACGTAAGCTACACAGTTTCGAAGTACTGTACGAACTTGGAGCAGGGCATACCAATGAAATATTTCTGCTGTGAGGATAAGTTGGTGAAATAATTCAACCATGGCATACCACAGCTGTTTGATTGAGACTATAGCTGTTAAGTATCAAGCTATCGTGCTGTACTACTAGCGCATCCATCACCCACGTAGACAATAATAAGTCAGTAATTTCTATGGTGTGCATTGCATCAAAACCGTCTGTCATTATTCTTCTCTTCCTCCCTCTTTTGTTAGATTTCTGTTCTTAATGAATAGTAGTGTAATTAATATTGATTCATTGCCAATATTTTGCAAATAGCTATGGATCGAGAGGAGTTGTGATGAGTGAGTCATCCAGCCTTCAACTGACATACACAATGCGGTCATAGTTTTCACCGGATATATCCTAAAAGTAATGAGGGTCAAGGCTATATATATACTAGCTGTGTGGAACATCTTGTTATTTACAGTCATGAAATATTTTCAGGAGTGTACGTTTTTTTGATTTAGTAATTTGGAATTCATTGCATTGCTATCTTTCTCATATTTAAACAGTAGGCATACTAATTCGTAATACACACACGTGTGTCAACATACAACACATCAGATTTCTGGATGACAGAGCTTGCAGTAGCTGGCACAAGTAGTTGAACAATAACAAGTTGAATACTTTGTGCTCATACCAATGTTGCATGCAGGTTAATTTGGCTCAAGGGGTCGTTGTCGTATCAGGTACTACAGATATGTACCCGAGGTACATATATGTATACACAAAGTGTACCAGACTTGTACTACAGAAGTGTACCTTAACCCTAACACTAACCCTAACCCTAACCCTAAACATACCTCATATAAATATATAAACATCATACTAAACAACCTAAAACTACCTCGGGTACATATCTGTAGTACCTGATACGACAACGACCCCATCTGCGTTAATTTGGGGCAATTTCTACTCAAAATTTTATATCCTCTTCAACATGGGCACACAACAGATTAAAGCATCTTGCTCATTTTATATACTCAGCATATATTGTCCATTGTGGGATTTGTTCTGACCATTCATATTATGTATTTTTACCAGGAGATGCACTTATTCCGTGGAAACTGTGGAATGCTGTTCAGCTATGATTGGGTCAGCGTGCCCCTGGTGTACACCCAGGTATGAAAACATTGCTTTACACAGCGCTATTAATATGTGGGTTTTGTGAATAATTAAAATGAATAAATTCCATGAATGATACGTTATTACTTAATTACTTTAAAATTGGTTTTCACCCGTTTATTAGTTTATGTCACAAGAAAACATCAAGTTCATTTTACCCTCCCATTCTACGAACCTTTGATGCGCGTTGTGTAACAAACTGCTGTTTTAGAGGGGGAGCCATAGACTGATATATATCTATACTACTAACAAAACGAACTTTGTCAGTTTGTCTATGCATTCTGCCATTTATTGATTTCGGACCCCCAAACTTGCCACGCTGTTAGTTTATCACCCTGAGGGTGGCCTACGCACATTTAAAAGTACTAGCTGAAACCCGCGCTACGCGCGGGCTTAGTGATTTTGATACATGTGTTACCAGTGCAGTAGTGTTATGTGTAAGGTGTTATATGGAGAGTTTAGTTGTTGCACATGTTTGTTTTTTATGGTTGAGATGTCAATACAAATACATGTGCAATCATGCTTACACATAACACATTAACCATTTGTTTGGCAAGTACACAGTGAAATACACACACCCACACAGAAACGTTTTATTGTATGCTATGTACTGGTTGATGATACGGACTCAAAAGTTAGAATATAGATAGATGTGAATGGGTACAACGTAAACGTAATAATCTAATATTACGTGCTTCGCATGTTTCCACTGTGTGCGGACCAGGTAATATTGCGTGGTTGTGATCGCTAATTTCTACGCATGTTTGCACTTTGTGCGGACGACGTCATATTACGTGCTTGTGATCGGACCGCTTGTGACAGATCGGTGTCCACGGCACTCTTACACTGTACAGCATTGCAGACTTCCAAAAAAAAATCTGCACTGATGAAATTCAACTTGTACATCTCATATGGGAAACTATGACCAAATAGCTACTGAATATTTAACTTCATTAATTTATTACATGGTTATTTCTACTTACATTATGGGGCTTACACACATGCAAATCTCAGACACACAGACACAGAACAGAGATACACAGAACAACACGAAATTGAAACCTGTTGAAACAAAACGAAATACAAACAGAACGATGGTCGTAGTGTTAACGTTGTCATCCGTCAGTGTTATTATCGCTTCAAATAATATTTC